GTGACAGCAGTGATGCCACTATAGCTATACCCCGGAATGATCTGTATTTAGTTTACCTAGGCTTCTGCTTCCATTCTAGTGCAGTAATAATGGGGAGCAGAACATGTGTGTAGGAGAGGTATCAGTTCTCTGCTCAGAAAATACAGATCCTGAGTCACTACCAGAACTGCCAGAATGCTGAAAATAAGACTTTGCCCAGTCTAAAACTTTGCCTGAGATCAGTTTTTAAAAATAATTCTCCTTTTACGTTACAGTTATGTTCACTATTTCAAAGGGAAATAATCTCTCACTTTCAAAACAAGAATGGCAAGTATGTAGAGGGTCTAATAAATAAATTACTAGACCTGTAATTTCATCCTTACCTCATATCACCCTGGGCCCCGGGTCCCGCTGAACCTTTGCCCTGCCTTTCTTTGTTTTAATGACTACTGACACCACTGACTTAGTGTTCAAAGGTTAGGAGCACAGAAATAGCCAGAAATTGGGAGGCTGATAGGATGATGCAGAGACACAACCCTCCTCCACTGACATGGGAAATAGCATGTACAAAGCAGCATTAGTTTATGCTGAATCTCAGTATATTGTAGAGACTACTTTTTCTGTGATCAAGAATATGATTGATGACCCACTCAAATAGAGTTCTCTATACATTCTTGCCTAGTAGGATTATGTTTGAAAAATGCAAAATACAGCAAAAAGCAGGCAGACAAAACCCAACTTGAGAAGGTTTATTCTAGCCAGGGAATTCCATTTTTAAGAAACAATAAGCAATGTAATGAATCTCTTCAGTTCTTTCTTAGTTTTTTCCTCCAGCTTTGATTAAAAACTGACTTGTGAATTTTCTTTTTTGAGCATCTTACCATGGTAACATGTAGAAGCATGGTGCAGTGGAAAAATTAGCAATTAAAAGTTTGATGGGGGCCGGCCCCGTGGCCAAGTGGTTAGGTTCATGTGTTCTGCTTCGGTGGCCCAGGGTTTCGCTGGTTTGGATCCTGAGCACAGACTTGGCACCACTCAAGCCAAGCTGAGGCGGCATCCCACATGCCACAACTAGAAGGACCCACAACTAAAAATATACAACTATGTACTGGGGTGCTTTGGGGAGAAAAAGGAAAAACAAAATCTTAAAAAAAAAAAAAAAAAAAAAAAAACTTTGATGACCTGAGCTCTTATTCCAGTTTTATCATAAACAAACTGGGTGACTTTGGGCAAAATATATAATTCTTCCACTGTTCCACTCTGTACAATTAAAACAACTACCTGGCCCATGGCTCAGGGTTGTCAGGATGATCTAGTGAGATGTCAAATTGCTTTGAGAATCACACAGTTTATAAGACATTATCATTCTAAAATGCAAACCAAATCAATATCTTTTTACAAGCTTCCTTGGGAAACCTTGCCCATTTTTATGGCTTTAATAACTTATATTGGAGTTATTAACTATATTAGTCCTTAACTATCTTCCAATTTTCTAGATATCTCCATTTATCTGACATCCTCTTGCTTCAGACTAAATAAAACAGGAATTCCAGGCTTAAAACACCTTGTTTTTTTTCTAGGTTATATCACAAAAGTGCTAAGATTGTTTCTAGCCCAAATATTTTCTTTCTTTTTTTAAGATTTTATCTTTCCTTTTTCTCCCAAAGCCCCCGGGTACATAGTTGTATAGTTTTAGCTGCGGGTCCTTCTAGTTGTGGCATGTGGGAGGCTGCCTCAGCATGGCTTGACAGGCAGTGCCATGACCACGCCCACGCCCAGGAGTGGAACGGGTGAAAGCCTGGGCCGCTGAAGCAGAGCGTGCCAACTTAACCACTTGGCCACGGGGCCGGCCCCCAAATATTTTCTATGATTATCATTCTGGAAGGCAAAAAGCCTGATCCTGAGTGTATGAGATGTAGAAGAGAGAAACTTCTGTGGATGAGGAGGCAGCCTTCCGGGGAAGTAAGGCAGTAACACACTATGCTCAGCATTGTGGTACAGAAGGAAGAGATAGCACGGGCCACAGAAGGGAAGAGCTAGGCCAACGTGAAGTGGTCCCTGGCAGCTCTGGGCTGCCTTAGGCACGAAGGCCTCCTGGAATGAAATTCAGGAAAGAGGAGACAGGAAGGTGATTCAGTTGCAAAGGCAAATTTGTTTACTTGACAGTTTTCTCTTTTCAAGTGAGAGTGCCTGGTAAAGCTCACTGAGGTCTAGGATTCGGGGAATCGGGGGAAAATAATATCTTATATTTGTATGGGCTTAATTTAACAGGCTTAAGCCATATCACTTGACATGCTCTCTGTAATAACTCTAAGGTAGAACAAGAACTTTGATCATTTTCCAGATCAGTTAACTTTATCTTAGAGAAGTTAAATGATATAGTTTCATTAAATTTCAAAGATGAATAGGATCTTAGAGATTTAGTCTAAAGCTCTCTTTTTAAAAAAGAGAACTGGAGTTAGGTGAAATAAGTTATCTGGGATCAAACAGCTAGTGAGTGATAGGTGTCAAAGTATAAACAAAGCTGTGGGTTGTGTTTCAGTTTAGAAATTCTCAGACTGACATAATTGATTCAAACTTGTTACAGCCTCCTGCAGAAGATAGGCAGCAAACTGTAACTGCTTTTGCAAAATTAAAAGCTGCTCTTTTATTTCTTTTTGTTTGTTTAAGGAAGATTAGCTCTGAGCAAACATCTGTGCCAAGCTTCCCCTATTTTGTATGTGAGATGCCTCCACAGCATGGCCAATGAGTGGAGTAGGTCCATGTCTGGGATCCAAACCCATGAACTCTGGCTGCCAAAGTGGAGTGTGCAGAATTTTAACCACTTGGTCACAGGACTGGCCTTTAAAAGCTGCTCTTTTAAAAACATTGCTTTTGAAGGAAATGTTAGAGGTAGGAAAAGAATTTTACAACATCAGATATGTCATTTTGAGTTTGCTTACATCTAAAGTGATTAACAGTAAGTGCAGTTGATGAAATATTATTAGGTTGTACTCAAGACACATTTTATGGCTTCTCACAATTAACTACAAAATGTTTTTCAACTGTCAAGTTTATCTTTCAGATGGGTAAGCACAGGTCTTGTATTAAAAACCATTTGAGGGGCCGGCCTAGTGGCACAGTGGTGAAGTGCGCACATTCCACTTTGGTGGCCCAGAGTCTGCCAGTTCAGATCCCGGGTGTGGACATCGCACCGCTTGTCAAGTCATGCTGTGTCAGGCATCCCACATATAAAGTAGAGGAAGATGGGCACAAATGTTAGCTCAGGGCCAGTCTTCCTCAAAGAAAAAAAAAATCTTTTGATAATAAGAGTTTTTTCTCTTCATATTGATTACAAGAAACGCACAGCAGAAGAAACCCGTAGCATATTACTTGGGACAACAGCATCAGTCTGATTAATAGATTGTCCAAAACTCTGTATTTAGTGCAACTGTCTGTCAACTCAGTTTTCTTATAAGTCACAGGGATTTAAATACAGTACCTGCATAAAAGAAATACTTTTATGCCCAAGGAGGTGGTGTTGTAGTTTTCCTTTCATGAGAGCCAATTTCCTTCTTAAATTAAAGGGAGAGTCACAATTCTAATGTCCTTATTCTCAAAGCTGGGCACTTCACAGCATATCAAAGAGATATTTGCCTATCCATTCAGCAAAATGTATTAACCACGCCCGAATTATTTGCAAGCCACTGGGCTATGGGACATGGGGAAAATTAAGATGTTTAAGATACAAATCCTCCCCTTAGGGCAAGTGAGGTAATATGACACTCAAGTTTACTGATCATCTACCAGGCACCAGGTGTGACGGATGCTTTTTATCTATTACCTCCTAAGAATCTTAAACTTTAGAAGGTGAGATAGGACATACGCAGAAAAAATAATATCTTTGGCATATACTGAGTCCCCAGTAAATATTTGCTGAATGAATGAACGAAAGGAACATAAGAGATCTCAAAATAATCGTCCTTGTTTCAAGAGTCCCAGAGAGACCGAGCGGCTCCTTTAGGTAGTGGTTTTCTACACCGACGACCTCAGGTCAGGTTGGGTTGACCATTTCCGAACTGTGTAAGCGATCCAGGGCAGGTTAGGTAATCTGAATCTCGACCTCCTAATCCGCAAAGTGGGGAAAATGCCTTCCACTTCATAGTCTTGTTATGGGGGATGGTGATAATGTATGTAAAGTTCCCCGCATAGAAGACGCTCAATACGTGGTAGCAACTATTGCTATTATTACATTTTATTCGGTTGATACACTAGCTATTCCTCTAGTGTTCCTTCTACGATTAGCTTCAGCTACGTAAACGCCCTTCTTGCAAACGCATTTAAGGACTCCTAGAGACTCAAGAGGCTAGTGCTTTCATGCGGCCGGGCACATCAGCAATCTTAATCTGAACAGTGCGATAGAGCGAGTGTGGTGAGGCGGTCCAAGTCCACAAACAACGTTGACTGGGGGGACTGTCTCCAGGGCCCTTTCACGCCCCTTTACGAAAGCAGAGCCTCTCACCGAGCCTCCTACTCGCTTTTCTACCTCAACCTCGTCCACTAGGCTCCTCCTGCGCGCAGCGCACCGTGCCAGGAGCCAGAAGCAGGCGGGGCACAGACCCTTTTTCTGCTCTTTTGCTCTACGGCTTTAGGGAACTAAGCCCTCCTCCCTGAAGTACCGCTGAAATAGCTCGCACGCAGTCACCCTAAGCCCCCAAACTAAAAGGGTATCCCCAAATCTCCACCGGGGCGAGGATTCCGCAAAACCCGCCAGCATCCCCCAGCGCCCCGGAGCAAGGCATTCGGGGAAATTGACCTTTCACCTCCTCTCTTGCCTTACCTCAGCTCACCAATTTTGACGCTAGCGAATGAAGCGATGAGGAGACCTCGAAGGCGGGACTTAGGGTTGCCCGATTCACGCTGATTGGGCTGCGGCGGCGTGAGGGGGCGGACCGCGTGAGCAGGCCAGCGACCCTCCCTCGATGGGCGGGGGGACGGTCTGCGCTTGCGCGCTGGGAGGCGGTGGCGGTGCAGAGGCGGCTACGCGTGCGCGGTGGGCGGAGCGCGCCTCTTCCATCTCCTTTGCCAGCCCAGGTCCGCTCATCCTTACCCAGCCGGTGTGGTGCTCGTGGTTCCCCGCCTCGTCGCGGAGAGTCGCTGCGGAGTGGGCGTTCGGTGTCCGGGTCGTCATGGCTGGCTACGAATACGTGAGCCCGGAGCAGCTGGCTGGCTTTGATAAGTACAAGGTAGCGCGGGCCCCGCGGACACTCCTCTCCCTCCGCGTCCCGGCCTCTCCCAGGCGGCTAGGGGCCGGCGCGGGCCGTGTCACCTTGTGCCGCGTGGCTCCGGGCGGACTGGCGGGCGTTGCTCTGGGGGGGTCCTGCCGAGTCCTGGGGCTTTGGGGTCGCGGTGCTGGGAGCACCCTAGGCCGCCGCCCGGACTCGGCACCCTCCCGGGGGATTGCCTTTGCCTTAGGAGAGCGCTCGACGGGAGTGGAGCGAGAGAATTCCCTTCTCTTTTTTACTTCATTATTATTATTTTTTAACCCCTTGAGAGGTGATGCAGTTCCCTTCTGTGGTGACTTAACTGTCTTCATTTTAATGAAGTTCCTTCCCGCCTCTCTTGCATGCAGCTTCAGAGATGGAGCTGGTCATTTGGCAGATGAGGCCCGGGCGGGGGAGTGACCACTGAGGCCATACTGCTGATGCGCTGGCCCTCTGCTCCCAGGGCAGAGGCTTCCGCAGCAGGAGCTGCGGCCCTCGGGCTGCCACATGAAGTCAGTGTAGACAGGAAGGAACTGTGTAGTGGAAAGAACGCGGGCTTTGGAGTACGTATAAACGTGATACCCAGCCCGATACCAACATCTCATTTCTTTATTTGACTTTGGGCCAAAGGATAATCTCTCCCTTGCAAAAAGGCTTATACGAAATCGCGAAACGCCTGGCACATGATGCCCCTCCAGTAAATGCTGGGTAACTGTCCTCCAAATCTGGTTCTCCTCCTCTTCTCCCTTATCAGTGAGTGACTCCACTGTCCATGCAGTTGTCCAAGCCTGAAATCTCGGTTGTAACCTTTCATCTTTGTTGCCCGTGTCACTCTCCCACCCAGTTGCTCTACCCCACCCACCAGCCGGTGAATCACCAGGTCCTGTATATTCTGTCATTTTAGCCTAAACTAGAAGAGTAACTCCATTCCCACACTGTCCACATACAGTTTAAGTAATCTTTTTATTTTAGAATAGTTTTAGAATATTTTAGATTTACAGAAAAATTGTGAAACTAGTACAGAGTTTCCATATACTCCACACTTAGTTTTTCCTATTATTAACATCTTACGTTAGTGTGGTCCATTTCACACAATTAATGAACCAATATTTCCACATTATTATTAACTGAAGTCCATACTTTATTCACAGTTTTTAAGTTTTCCTCTAATGTCCTTTTTCTCTTCCAGGATCTCATTCAGGGTACCACGTTGCATCTAGTCATGTCCCTTCGGCCCCTCTTGGCTATGACAATTTCTCAGGCTTTTCTTCTTTTTGATAACCTTCATAGTTTTGAGGAGTTCTGGTCAGGTATTTTGCAGAATGTTTCTCAATTGGGATTTGTCTGATGTTTTTCTTATGATTAGACAAAGGTTGTGGGGTTTTGGGAGGAAGACCATGGAGATGAGGTGCCGTTCTCATTGCATCATATGAAGAGTATGTGCTATCAACATGACTTATCACTGTTGGTATTGACTTTGATCACCTGGCAGAGGTAGTGTTTGTCAGGTTTCTCCCTGTAAAGTTACTGTCTTTGCAAGGAAGTCACGATGCACAGCCCTCATTTAAGAAGTGCAGAGTTATGCTTCACCTCCTTGACGGCAGAGTAGTGACATAATTTATTTGGAATTCTGCATGGAAGATTTGTCTTTCCTCCCCAGTGTATCTTTAATCATTTATATCAGTATGGATTCATGGATATTTATTTTATAGTTGGGGTTATAATCCAATACTTAATTTTGTTGCTCACCCACATCCACTTTTGCCTGTACAGTCCTTTCTGTGTCTCATAGTGATCTTTTAAAAAATATGCATTTGGTCACATCACTCCTTTGCTTAAAACCCTCCACTTCCCATTGCTCTTGGAAGGAAGTCCAAAAATCTATAACACGATGTGTGCGGCTCAGAATGATCTGGTTCATGTCTGTGTCATCGGCTTCGTGTCATGTCACTCACTGTCTGCCCCCTCAGCTTTGGCAGCCATCTCCTCCATCTCCTTTTTTTCTAGATCTTCACGTAATGTTATGTCTGCCAGGAGTGTAGCTCCCCTCGCCGTTTATGTTCATGTCCACATATTAACCTAAATGTTCCTTCCAGAGAATTCCCTAAATATTCCTTTCTCCCTAAGTGTGCTCTCATAGCACCCTTTGCTCCTTTATGGAATTAGTTCTTTAGTGTGTTTACCCATTAGGATGTAATACTCAAGTGGTTAGACTTGTCTTATGGACCACTAGGGCCTGAGTGCAGGCACCCAGTAAACATTTGTGGCATGAATGAATAGCTGAAAAATCATAATGGATTTTGTCTAACTGGGGTTGGAAAAACTGTAAGAGACTTTAGAAAGTCACATGGTACATTCCTCTGCTTTCAGGCAATATTGTGCCGTATCATTTTGAACTGAGGTGCTGACCTGTCTTAAAATTTTAGGTGGAAAGAAGTTCTAGAGCCTTCTTGGTAACCCAGGGCTTTACAGCTTTCATTAAAGAAGGTTATTAACCCAGTTACCTCCTGTTTTGCCTTAAGCTTTACTCGCTTTCTGTCTCTTATGACATATAAAAGTTTTTTCTTCCTTACTAGGTTCTGGCTTTCTGGGTGAGTGCCACTGGAAAGCTGTTTCATTTGCAGTAGTGTCTGTAAGAGGAAATCTACTTTTTCTTATAAGCAGTTGTCCCTAGATTTATATTTCCAGCTAGATAGGTGTCCTAATTTACAAGAAAACTTGGTGATTTTCTGTTCCTGTCTTTTCCCCTCTTATATTATCTGACTCACTTCCTGTGTCTGACAGTAGATTTCCTATCATCCTGGAAAACAAAGGTCAATTTAGCAAGTGTCCAGTGTTCACTAAAATAGTTTGTTGATGTTATTTTAGTTGTAATGAGGCTTCCTTTAAAAAAACCAGGAGGGCACAGATTTATAACCTAAACTTCTAGAAAAGGGTTCTTTACTCAGTACTGCATTCATTTTAAAAAATATGAATCCAGGGGCTGGCCCAGTAGCGTAGAGGTTAAGTTCACACGCTCTGCTTTGGCGGCCCAGGGTTGCCGGGTTTGCATCCTGGGTGCAGACCTATGCACTGTTCCTCAAGCCATGCTGTGGCAGGTGTCTCCTATATAAAATAGTGGAAGATGAGCACAGATGTTAGCTCAGGGCCAAGCTTCCTCAGCAAAAAGAGGAGGATTGGTGGGGGATGTTAGCTCAGGGCTAATCTTCCTCAAACAAACAAACAAAAAAGAATCCAAAGGGAACGTCTGTGTGATCAGTTTTACTGGAATGTGCGTTGCACCTAGAGACCTCTTCTTCCTGAGGATCACTCCTTCCCATTGTGTGCTCTGTGACAGTAAGTGCTTTATAAATGCTTATTGAAGTCAAGGAGCTTTACTCCTAAATGGGGAAAGACACAAAACGCTCAAAAGAGATTTTTATTCTCTGATGTGACCCTAGATATTAGAGCAAAGAGATGTACAGGAAAATTGATACTATGAAAGCAGCTAGCGGAAATATTACTTTTAAACTGGTCTGATTTCTTTATCTTCCCTTGAGGTACATTTGAGAACTACAGTTGGAAACCTGGCAGTCATTTGGAATAACTCCTGGAAGGGGTGCACACGTAAAGTGGTAATTAGGTTTCTGTAGTAAGAAACTGTAAGATAGTTGATTTTCAGTACAGGAGAGCATGGGATGAATTCTTTGTTACGTGCGCTCTTAATACCTGTGTTCTCTGCTCTATTACCACAGTGGTATTAACAGTTGAATAATTAGTTGAGTGCCTGCCTTCTCTGTTAGGATGTGAGCCGGGGGAGGGCAGAGCCTATAGCTGTCTTGTTCAACATGACTCAGGTCCAGCATGTGAACAGAGTTGGCAGTCGACTATTTATTGAAGGGATGAAAGTGTGAAAGAATATAAAGCGTTTTGGAAGTATGGGAAAAGGGAGCTGTGCATCTCCTGGATAGCGGAAGGATAGCTTTGTATTTTGAATGTGAATTTTTGAATTCCACCCCTCTACCCATCCTTTCTTTAAACGGGTCTTTGTAGTTGAAGGATTTTCCCACTTATCTAAAGGTGAAACTTCTGTTGTGGTTTACTTAATCTGACCAACGGAAGGCATAGGTTTAATTGATAGTGTAGCACCTAGTTTCACATTGTATCATTTTGCTTCAAAGAGGAAATGTCCTGTGAAATACCTTGTTTGGTTTCAAGAATACAATTTTATGATGAATTTTTTCCTGCTGTTATGGTAGTTCATTAACTTGGCTGTCAGTGACAACCTGATTCCAGGAATTGTGATAATTTTGTAGTCATTAGGATCACAATTAAGAGGTCGTTAAGAGAGACTGCATCTTGATGGTAATGCTGAAGAACTAGGATCTGGCCTTCCCTTACTGGTTCATACAGAATGATTTTGTTTCTTCAGTAAGCGTTTATTGAGGGCCCACTTGGTGTCAGGCGTAGCATTGGGGCTGCAAAATTAAGCTAGGCTCAGATTCGTCCCTCTGAGGAATCGAGTTTGCTGGCATCTGGATAAGTAAATAAACTGTTATAAATAGTTAATAAATGCAGTTAGGTGAGTGCTGGGTGCTGTGGGAGAGGAGAAGGAAGCAGCGCCAGGGAGTGAGGGTAAAGCTGAGAAAGGCTTCAGAGAGGGGGTGGAGAAGGCAGAGCTCAGTCTAGAAAGATGAAGCTGAGTAGGCCCCAGTGTTGCCGAGTGAAGAGGGGAGAAAAGGCATTATAGAACAGGTAAGCGCACAGGGGTGGAGGCCTGACAGTGTTTTATGGGACCCACAGGACGTTAGATGTTTAGACACAGTGGTGGAGGGGCCCTGTCAAAGAGGGATGATTCTGGATTTTACCCTGTAGATCAGTGTTTCTGTGGCCCAAGGGCCCTTGGCATTAGAATCACCTGGGGAAACTGTTTTTTTAATTTATTTTTTATTTTTCCTTCTCCCCAAAGCGCCCCCACTACATAGTTCTGGGTCCTCCTAGTT